AGGGTCTATCCTTATATTATGTCTATGACGTAATCGGTGACTCCGGTCCGGTGGCGTGAGCGATACAGAACCAGAATCTGGAGCAATTTGGGGCTGCGATGGAGGGCCAGGACCAGAACCAAGACAAGCACCAGGACTGGGGATCCTCCTGTTGTCCTTCCAAGTGGAAGAAGGTAAGTGTGATTCTGGACTGCTACTAAAAATCCGGTCGGTCTCTAACTTTACCGAACTGGACCTGAACCTGTCTAGCCGATCCGAACTGGGCCCGAGTTCTGATCCACCAGCAGTGAATAATCCGACTCCAGCGGCTGGTTTTCCTCGTGAACAGACTGAATTAGTGGTTCAAATGTTTACGGTGAAGTATTGCTTTGTAAACCATTTATTGATTAAATAAGCAACAATTTTGACAAAACCATTTATGCTGCTAAATTATTGAATAAATGGATAAATGAGCGCAACAACAAATATTTATTATTTTTAAAACATTCTTCAGGTCAGTCAAGACATTAATGTAAAGGCCAATGAATAGATTCATAAAACTAAAAATAAATAAATATATATATATTGTCTTTTTTTTTTTACAGTTTATTTAGCTGTGTCTTTTAATTTTTCCTGGCCTGCTGTGAACATTTTCTGGGTTGGGTTGAAGTTAGTTCTGATCAATCCTTCAGGCTCTTTCAAAAAGTGGACACTGACGCTAGCATTAGCTGCTACATGTTAGCATTGAAATGCTATTGTTGGCTACATAGACATGAATACGTAGACCCCTCATAAAGCGGGCCGGCCCGTTTCTGTGATACGTCACAGCGTCCGCCATATTGAATGTGGAATATGTGCCGGTAAGCTAATACAGGTAAATGGACCGAACTTTATAAAGTGCCGTTCTACAAAGTATTTTAAGTTAATTCCTGTCATTGACACATTTTCTCACACACATTAATATATTTGTCAATCAAATAAATTTCTAAAGAGAGAGTTTCTAACTTTTGATGTGATTATTTAATTGTTTTGGGGCATTTCTGAATAAAGAGAGAGAGACTATATATACCACCTTCTGTCAAATTTTAATCGGAGTTTGATGGATTAAACAATATCAAACCTCCCCTTTCCCTCCCCCCATGGGAACTTTGTGACCTCCTGACCTCCCTCTGTGACCATCTGCTCACCATTAACTCCTCCTGAACTCTTTGAATTAGCCAATATAAATGGAATAATTTACTTGTAAGTGAATAGTGAATAAATAAATATACTATATTCTAAACAATGTTGAATTAGATTAGGAATGTTGTAACTACCTCAGGTTTTAGACAGATTGTCTTCTTGATGCGCAGCGTTCAGCAGAGTGACCCCTGACCCCCCAAAGAAAAACCCGCAGGATACGTCTGACAATCCTTCAGACAATAGCTTACGCTGCGTTATTTGGTGTTGGACTACAGTAAGGGCTGGATCATACTCTTTAACAGGACATGAGAAAACTTATAGCTAGGCAAGAGGGGCTGACCTTTGACCCTGCAGCTGGTGATGCCTGCCTCAGGATACATCAGGAAAACCTTCTGAAGGAAAAAACAACAGATTCACTGCCACATGGTCCTCTTTAAAAGGACGCATCACCTCGACAAGATCGCAACTCTGCAGAACTTCTCCCATCTCCGGTACAACAGGAGTTGTAAACTTTTAATTTTGCTTCATCTTTAAACCAGCATTATTCTGAAATATGTCCGGTTTTCCAGGCAAGCAGGTTCATTTTGACGGGTCTACAACTTTCAATTCTCAGGATCTCTTTTTGTTTTTTGACCGTAAGTAAAGAAAAATACTAAAACTTACTTTCTAACCCTAAAAGTTATAAATGATCAATGTGAACCATCAGTCTTAAAATATTTAGTACGATTTCTATTTATTTAGATTTGATGTTTTGATGTGAGCACTTGGATTTCTATCGATTTATTGAATGATGCTCTATGTAAATATTTATCAAACTGAATGATCATTCAGGTTTTATATAGTTTTTTTTCTTTTCATTCAATGTTTGTTGCAGAAATTCAAATATATGCTGGCTATCAACCAACAATTCAGTCAGTGAATCTTTTGCTTTTTTTTCTCAAGTACTCCCTTCTCACAGAGACTTTCTCACATCTTCTGACACCTGGCCCAACTTATAATAACATTGACTAAGTTTGCTATTGCTACACTTTACCTAAAGAATAAAACATAACTCCATAAAACAGGTACTGAGTTTGAAGCGGGTCAGATGCTTCCAGCCGTCTGCTAATCCTTCCTCACTGTAAAATAAAACATCCTGCTTAAAGAGTTCAAGTGAACGTCACGTAATTCTCAACAACTTGTTGTTTGTTCTCATCTTAAACAAGTGGCAGGAACTTTTGGATTTAAAAAAGAAAAAAAGATGCTATATAAGTTAATCTCTTTAAGTTGAGTCTGCAACAACTAGAATAAAATAAGAAATGAACTATTTGAAAGTGGAGAGGATTTTGGGTGGTAAAGGTTTAACATACACAGACATTACTGCATTTCTACTCAAGCAAACCGAAAGGTTTTGAACAGAACAACTATGTCAAGTAATGACACCATGTATCTTTAATCTGTGTAGTAAATACATGCTGCTGCTGTAAGCAGAAAGTAAAATAAATTTTGCATTGAATAATATTTTGGATGAGTCCCCATAAGATGTTTAGATACAAGACTTTTAAAACCCTCTTTTGTTTAGTCCGTTGGGCAAATTGTAACAGTTCTTTATACAATTCAGTTGATTTACAAAACACTAATTTACAATAGGTAATCTCAAGACAATTTACAAAAACGTCATTTCCATTCTACTTATCAAACAGTCCAGCAATTTAAATGTATTAAGTCAGTAAAACAATAATTAAGTTATCCGAGTTAAAAATGCAGATTGCATCATGTCATTGACTTGACTTGTTTATATGCTTCCCCCCTCTTCAAATTACTTTTAGCCTGTAATGACTGATTTTATCCATATTTTCAGGGGGACCCTGTGGAACCAACATGTACGTTTGCTGCCTTCTTTCCCTGTTTCTTTATGACTGGGCACCAATGGAGTTCCATAAAGTCTCCTAGTAAAAGTCACATTAAGAGACAATCAGAACGCCTCATGCTGAACCGATCCTCCAACGTTTGTTTATCATGTCAGAGTTTTAACATGAAAGAAAAACATGGAGTACAACCGGTAAAATTGTTGCTTTATAAGCCACAACAAGTGTAGATTTTATCTTTAGGTTTTATGTAACACCATGGTAATAAGCTACATGATTGTTGGTAAATAATATCACACTGAACACAAATCCTAATCATAAATCTCTCCTGGATTTGCTCCTTTCTTCTTCTGCAGATTAACAGGAACAACTGATGTTTGTCCGTTCTGTAAGAAAAAAAAACAAAGTTTTGTTTCTTTTACATTGTTGTTTTTAGAGCACACAAATTATACAGTACTTAATAAATTACAATAAAAGTTGTTCATTTACATTATAATCATTTAGCCACAAAAGGAAAGTTATTAGTTATACTCTACAATTCAGAGGGGAAAAGGTTTTAGACATTTTAATGAGATCCAAATTTTTTCAAAGTTTTGACAAACCTTAAAGTCTCTTCATCTCGTGGAGTCGTTTCAGTGAAGTTAGCGTTCGTGGAGGGAAACTTGCTGTCGCTGTTCTGCTCAGTCAGAAAGTTACTAATGTCAGAAAAATCTGCTGTCATGTCATGAGCTGGAAAAAAAAATCAACAAGCATGTTTGCAAAAATAAAAGTCGCATCGAATTTTCACTTAAGACTTATAAAATAGTTTTATGATTTTGGTTATGGCTGTAGAACTTAAACTGAGGCAACAATGAACAATAAATTGTTGGGTAAATAGTGGAAAAAGAGGAGATATTAAAGACATGCTAACCTAAATGGCTGCAAATGCATCCAATGCTCAAAATGAATCAAACTCACGTAACACAGATTCACCTCTCTGCAACACTTTGAGACACCAAGCTTTATACTTTTCAAACCCTTGTTATTTGGTCAGTTTGATTTCAGAAGAGCCGATGACATTTTTATCACAGAAACATAAAATTTACTGTATTAAAATTTACTCATCTTGAAGAAGACTCACTGTCACACTGATGGCGATGAGTTCAGCCAAAAGTAAAACATTCAGGATTCCCAAAGCCACACAGAGGCAGAGCCTCTCTTTGGAGCCGTTCGAACCTTAACGAAAACCTGAACCTTAGCAAAATCCAATTAAATACATACTAGATTTCTCTGTAACTTTATTCTTACCTGTGTGGTTAGATGCAGTTTGTCCAACAGGCTCCATGTCGACGTAAATTTCCTCCATGGCTTCAGACTCTGTGCTGCTTTTAACACTGACTATAAAATCCACTGCAGTCGAGGAACTAAGTGAAAAACTGGGAGAAAGATGTGAGATGTCTGGTGTTCAACATAAAAAGTGACATATTTTAGAGATAACAGCCAAATAAAGTAACTCATGAGTGCGGTTTCACTATTATTTTCTTAAATATCTTACACAACATAAGATTCTTGAAGGTTTCAATAGTTTCCTAAGTTCATATTTGCTGATTCGGTTCTGTATCAATGAATATTTCTCCTTTTTCTTTGTTTTCCTTCAGCTCGGTTAATCCTACTCATAATAAACACGTTACACTTTTCTATCAGTGAAGAAAATAAATTACTTTTACATTCATGCACAACTTTGCAGCCTGCCGTATGGTATCAGACATTAAACATAGTTTAAAATCACTGATATAAGGATGAAAAATGTCTGACATCAGGATGTTGTGATGTTCCTGCTCCTGGTGTCCAAACATATTTCCTACAGAGTGATAAATTGTTGGAGCAGATGACTGGTTCTCTCCTTTTGATCATATGGACCCAACAGTTTTACAGGTCTCCTTCGGTCCTGATTACTAGTCAAAGCCCAGTAAATACAACTATCAACTATTTTCTTTCCAAATCCTCTTCTAACACTGTTCCTTGTCTTCTTACTGCCTCATTCCAGCAGCAGAAACACTGACATTAAGGAACCACAATCCCTGAATTGCTTCACTACTAAACTTCTATAACTGCTGGACGGAATAATTATGGAGTTGTAGTATTTATTCATGGTTTACAGGTCTATACTTTTGGGTCTGTCACCTAGTAAAAAGCTGCATGAGCTGCTGGCTACTAGTGTCTAAAACTCAGTCACCATGTCTTCTCATCTTCTGAGGGACATCAACAGTTTGACAAACAGTTTGCGTTGTGAAGCGCCGCCTCACTGGGAGGGAATCGAAAGGCTAACAAGCCAATCAGGTGCAAGTTGGGCGGGTTAAAGTAAGAGAAACCTGATGCTGCATTCAAAGCATGCAAAGCTTTCACAGAGTGGATGTAGTAGAATATCAGAGCACAGGAGATACAGGACAGAAGATTTGACTGAATCGAGACATTGTCCAGAAGTTCAGACTGGGAAGCTAACTGACAAATTGTTAGCCAAGTATGTGGAGCAGGAAAATAGGTTGTAGTTACTTAAATTAATCAAACCAAATGGCTCAGAAGATCCAATTACTGCAAGAGGAAAAAGACTTAAGCAAAGTAGCATTCACAGTGAGGAGAGGACAAATTCTGGAAAGGGATCGATGTTAGGGGTTGTCTCTCACTTTAACTGCAGAAAGCTAAAAGTTAAATTTGAGTCACCTCTGATTATTATTCTGATTAAGATCTGCAACAATAGGCATATATTTAAGTTTTTCATTTTATAGGGTTAAATTATTTTAGAATTAGGGTTACAGAGAACAGACTTACCACTTATAATCTCTGATTCTGAGAAATGATCTGCCTCCTCAGAATATGCACCTAAACAAACATTATTATTAAACATGATGCATATCTATACATATATATAAATTGAAAAAGATATTTTTAGTATTTTTCTTTACTTACGGTCAAAAAACAAAAAGAGATCCTGAGAATTGAAAGTTGTAGACCCGTCAAAATGAACCTGCTTGCCTGGAAAACCGGACATATTTCAGAATAATGCTGGTTTAAAGATGAAGCAAAATTAAAAGTTTACAACTCCTGTTGTACCGGAGATGGGAGAAGTTCTGCAGAGTTGCGATCTTGTCGAGGTGATGCGTCCTTTTAAAGAGGACCATGTGGCAGTGAATCTGTTGTTTTTTCCTTCAGAAGGTTTTCCTGATGTATCCTGAGGCAGGCATCACCAGCTGCAGGGTCAAAGGTCAGCCCCTCTTGCCTAGCTATAAGTTTTCTCATGTCCTGTTAAAGAGTATGATCCAG